CTATATTGACTGGCAAAGCCTCAGAGTAACTCCCCATCTTTTACTTTCTCTTTTTCTTTTGGAAACAACAGTGATTGCAGCATCTGCCAGCACCCACTTGTCCCAACAGGTCTTCAGCATGGTGGCCAATCTCAATGAAATTCAGTGTACAAACTGGACTTGGACTATAACACAAGCAGATCAATGAGATGGAGAACCTCAAACTGCCCCCAGGATCATTCCTCACATTTTGCTTCAGATCTGAACCCAAGGATGGGCAACTAAAGCCAGACACAGGCTGTCTACCAGCATGGGGAAATGAATTACATCTTTTGTCAAGAGATCCTGCCAGCCTCTTCACAAGCGGTACTCCCTCGCTCTGCAGAGCTGATCTGGTTAGTCAAGGATTTGGGGCATTACATGCTTCCTGCTGTTGTCAGCAGATTTAAGACAGCAAGAAGACACCTTCACTGCTGACTTGAGAAGTTTATATGACAGCAGTGCTGGTTGCAGGAGCCTCAGTCCAACTCTGGACCTAGTGATGTGGCCCCTATCCAAGACCATGATCACTTGCCACCTGCTTCTGCAGCATCCATAGAGGAGAATCTCCTGGTGTTTGATCCCAAGAAGCACAGATGCCTGCAAAAAAAAATTTCTGGAATTTCAAGAAAAATCTGCACTGATACTTTGGCTTTTCTACTTTCTATAAAATTAAGTTCTACTCTGCATTGAAATCTGCTGTTTCCCAAGAGACAACATTCACATATCACCCCATCCCTCCTACTGCCTTTGCTTTGGCAATGTAGCAGCTTTTCTAGCCATGACTACATGCCAAGGGCATGTACTTATAGGACAAGGGGGAATAGCTTCGCACTGAAAGAGGGCAGGTTTAGATTAGATATTAGGAAGAAATTCTTCATTGTGAGGATGGTGAGGCACTGGAACAGGTTGTCCAGAGAGGTCATAGATGCCCTATCCTTGGAAGTGTTTAAGGCCATGTTGGATGGGGCTTTAAGCAACCTGGTCTAGTTGAAGGTGTCCTTGCCCATGACAGGGGGGTTGGAATGAGGTGGTCTTAAGGTCCCTTTCAACCAAAGCCATTCTAAGATTCTGTTAAAAACTTCATGAAAGGAAGTTGTTTGACCCTGAGGTTGGAGCATGGTGCTAATAACATCCAAGGTCATGTATTCGATCCCTGCATGGGCCATTAACTTAAGAGTTGGACTTGATGATCCTTGTGGGACCCTTCCAACTCAGAATATGCTGTGATTCTGTGATATAGTTGGAAGCCAAGTGCTCATCATCAAAGGGGGTTTTGAGGTTCAGGCAAGACACATGGAAAAGAGACGCAAAAGATTTAAGTGGATCTGCTCTGCTCTCACCCCACACACAGCAGTCAAAGATACCTCCTCAGATGCAGGCAGGTCAGATGTCCTCATGATATAAAGCATGTTCTGCCTTTAAATGTTTTGGTACTAGCACAGCATTGCACTTCTTTGAGTCACTGAGATATTTGTGATAGTTTCTTGTGATACATTTGATTTTGTGTGAATTTCTTATGCTTTCCTTATCAGTAAGGCTTGGGCTTCAGTTCAGACAACCTTTGGCAGAACGTGCCAGATTCAGTAACAGTGGTACACAATACCTGTAAAGCCCTCTACATCTCCACACTACCAAACAGCATGGGACACTCAATAGCTTATAATCACAGAATAGTTTGGGTTGGAAGGGACCTTAAAGATCATCTAGTTCCAACCCCCTGCCATGGTCAAGGACACCTTCCAGTAGACCAGGTTGCTCAGAGCTCCATCTAACCTGGCCTTGAACACTGCTAGGTATGGGGCAGCCACAGCTTCTCTGGGCAACCTATGCCAATGCCTTATCACCCTCACAGGAAAGAGTGTATTCAGAATATGTAATCTAAACTTGCTCTCTGTCAGTTTGAAGCCATTCTCCCTTGTCCTGTCACTACATACCCTTATAAAAAGTTTTATGCTGTTAACTTGATAGCCCACCACCTCTGCCTGCCACAGTCATGCTGCTGTTTCTACTGGCTTAATGGGAAGGCAAGCCATCTCCTCCACCGCCAGCTCCTCAGGGAGGAGAGAAGGATGCTACAAGCAGGATGTAGGATAATCCAGATGTGATCCGCACACCCTCCTTCACTGCTCAGTAGATAGTCAACATGACCATCAACGGGAGAAACCTCTGATGTCCCCAATCATGCACCAAGTCCCTGCTGCACCTGGTGGGACATGGACACACATGCAAATAAGCAGTAAAATAAAGGCAGTCCTATTTACTGCCAACAACACAGGCTTTTGTTTGGTGATGATAGGTGAAAGCCAGCCACCATGGGGGAAGTGATGGACTTGGCCAGGAAGTAGGATTTTTAGCTCTCCCTCTCCCATCACCTGGAGAAATGTGACAAACTCACAGAGTTACTGTTTTTTGTTCATGCCCTTTACATAAGGGGAGCCTGGGATAGAGCTGTCATGTACCAAGAGCTCTGCTGGCTGTCTAAACATGTACCATACCAGAAGTCTTTTACTTAATGAATTGGTCTCCAAATTATATCAAAGAGCTTCCTACTTGCAACAGCCTCACAAGGGGAATGCAAATAAAGTATTATATAAAATCTTCCCATTGGGTCTTTTTAGGAAAAAAAATTCAAACATAAAAAGATTCTAAATTATTCCATTATCTAAACTTTCCTCCTTTATAGAGGTAATGCGCTGCTCAGATATTATCTTGCGTACCTCAATGGAGTAGTCTTCACCCCAGAGGCTCACACGGTGCTAGCACACCTGGTGAGTATCGCTCAAACACAGCAGAGCTTAGCAGAGCACAGCCATGCCATGCCGTGCCATGCAGCAAACAAATGTTCACAGGAGGAAACAAGAATTATAGATGAGCTGAATGTAGTTGTGAGGCCAGGATTTTCTCAGCACACCAGGAGTTCACAAAATGCATCTCATGAGATCCCCCATCAGCAGATCATCCTCTTGCAGTGACCTGCCCAGAGAATTGGAAAGACCAGATTAAAAGGCTTCTAGAGGGAATTTTCTCCATTTGTAAGCCACTACTTTGTATGGGATGCACAAGTGCCGATCTCCCACAGCTGCTAATAGCAGATGTTTCACCAAGCAGTGAAAAATCAACAGCCAGAAATTATAATAAACTGCACCTAGTCCTCACCAGCAGCATTTCACTCATATATCAGCAACAGCAAGAGAAATGCTTGCCTGAACAGAAGAATGATAGCTTGCAGCTCCTCTTTGGTGCCAAGGAAAATTTGTTACTCACTGTTAAAGGAAACCAAACATGGAGAGAGATAATTACTAGCTCTGCTGCAGGCTGGGAGAGAGCCCAAACACAGGGAAAACAGCTTGGGCATTGGTGAATGGTATTTGTATGCAGAAAGCAAGTTCCCTGTTTGAGGAGATCAAATAGGTTTAATTCAAAGGAAAAAAACCCACAAAACACCACCCCTCCCCATATGTTGGAACAAAAGAGTGCACAGCATAAGGCAGATGGAAGATGTCGGGGCTGTGTTGATTGGAGTCAGGTAAGCATCACTCATGTATGACTCCTGCATCCTCCTGTAGTACCCACCAGCTCAGCACATTAGCTGAGCCTTTGGGTGAAGAGCAAGGGACCTTCTACCCCCAGGGTAAACATCTAGTCTTCTTATCACCCTTAGCAACCCAAGGAGGCTCAATGGAAATGGCTAGCTTCACAGCTGAATATCAAGCAGCCAGCTGGAACATGGATGAGGTTTTGATGGTGAATATTTCTGAGCAGATCAAAACTATATAAAATTAGGTCCACAATTTCTTTTGGCACCTTCAGAGGTTCATCTGAAGCAGCATTTCCATACAGCATGCACCTTCCTACACAACAAGATCTTGTCTTTGTCAGACACAGGTGTTGGTATAGATATTCCCAGCATCCTTGCATCCAGACCCATGGCAGGGAGGGCATTCATGAGCCCCCATCCCACAGCCAAGCAGTTTCCATCACGTCTCTGTGCAGGAAGAAATTGTACCCAAAATAAAGTTGCAATAGGCACTGCTCTGACTGACACAGCCTCTTGTACACCTTGCAAGAGGCTCCCAGGTTTCTTCTCATGGATCCCACTCGTGGGACTGAAGCCTGGAGGACATCAAGCAAGGCAAGAGCACCAAAATCACCAGCCTGAAGCCCCTTCTCCAGGTGGCATATATATCAGCCACAGTTACTGCAAATGCCACTTCACCCTTTCCTCAGCTGCCTCAGTCTCAAATCTCCTCAGGCAAACACTGTTCTTACAGTCGATGGCCTCATGGTGGCACAGTAGCTCCTTAACCAGATGACAATGGTCAGAGCCATTCCTCTACCCTACCCAACCCTCTCCCATACTAGTGCTCACGCAGAGGAGGGACAGCCACCTCCAACAGCACTTAGTAAATACTGTTCACTGACGTTCACACCATGTACAACCACCCAAACCAACTTACACCTGGCTTCTGTCATTGTACACCAAACAGGTTCTTGGCACATACAATTTTGCTTCTCCCAATTCACTCCCTCGGCTATTTAATCCTCTTCCCTACAACATCGTCCTTGTGTTGTGACATATAACCAAGAAGCACAGCTACACAAAGATCGCTCATCCCAGCTACATCTCATACTTTCAAGTCAGCTTCGATGCTCCAAATAGGTTGCTTTCACAGGTGGCCACAAGAAGCTCTTCAGCAATAAATGAGACACTCCATATTTTTTCCCTTTTATCACAGAGCAATAAGCTCCTGGTCAAAAAATCCATCCTCACATTGGGATGTTGCTCATCTTCCATGGTTTGGGTGGGAATGAGCTTTCAGATGCCAGAGGGACACATCTCCCTGCCATGGGAAAGGGAAAGTTGGCAGCATGGGCAGGCTTCATGATGATGCATGAGACAGTACAAGAACAAAAGCAAAAGTTTGGTGAGGAAGAGCTAAACACAACCCCTACCTGACTGTGTTCATGAGACGATGAGCCCTTCCCTTGGGATAGGGAACAGCTGCCATCAAGCTGCTCACTACAATACGCTGTCCACTGTAATAGGGATAAAAAAAGGCATTGTATAAAATAATAGCCAGGAGAAAACTGCTGTGTCTGTCCACAGCACACAGCAAACACCATCTGGCTGCAGGCATCACAATACATGTGCAGCACTCCCTCATTTTAGAGGATCATCCCAAAGGCTTTGGCTAGGAAACACTCCACCTGCTGATGGCAAGCAGAGGGAAGATGCAGGAACAATTACAGGAAGGCACCTGAAATGATGCTTTGCAATAAAATCCATCCCCACTATTTCCTAGCAGACTCCATCAGTGTTTGGTATCTCAGGCATGTGGTATGCACCAAGGTGACTTGACTTGATAACCCTTTACTATGGAGTCTTCCACGGAAAGTTGGGAAATTTCTGCTTTTCCCAACTCCATTCACTTCAGGGACAGATATGAGCCCTGAGCTTCTAGAAAAACTGTGGTTTTATTTTAAATAAAACAGAAAATGTGGCAACTGTGACGTACCACTGGATGACAGCACTACTCTCACACCGGCTTTGCCCCATGGTGAAGAACGTGGACATCAGGGGACTTCCCAGACATGGGGGACCATGAGCTGCTTAGGTCAGCTTCCCCCAAGGTGCCTCCACAAAAATAATTCAGTTTTGGGTAATTTGTTTTGTTGGGGATTTTCCCTCGAAGAAAGGGCTGCATCATACTGAGGAAAACATAATATTTTTAAAAAGCATTTTTCATTAAACAAATATAAAGGATGCTGCTTAATCCTAAAGTCATTTTGTCACCCCTACCAACAAAGCTGAGACTGAACCTCGGTGACCATCCCCATTTCTGAAGTCTTTCATCCTGGAAGTCTTTGGCTGCTCCAGAGAGACTCACTGCTTGGATGCCATCACCAAGGCCGACGAGTCAAGAAAATGAACAGTCAATTTCATACAAGCAGCAACCACCTGAGAGCTCTTTGACAGGTATGGATGAGGCCACAAAATAAGAGGAAGAGCCACCAATAGAACTGCCCATGATCCCTACACAGCTCTGCCCTTATTGGTTCTAGCTCACAGATGGAGGACCTCAGCCTCCTCTCATTAAAGAGCTGCTCATCACTCTCCTGCTACCTCTGCTGACCTACCTGGAGAAGCTCATGATACTATCATGCTTGAGAGCCTTCTACTACACCTATCCCCATCACCTTTAACAATTTGGAGTGCAACCACATGCCTGGAAAGGTTTCCCAAGGTACAGCTCAACTATTATTATGTCTACAGCCAAAAAAAAATTACATTTTCCCTCTGACTTTCCTCTCTTTCCTGGTGGGAGCAAGGTTGGAGACATCCCCACCATAGGAACATCCACACCTTGGAATTTTCTAGACTGGTGATGGATTCAGCCCTGCTGTGAGCGGTATGGAGGATGAAGCAGCATACAGTGTGCCTTCCATTCCTTCCCCCAGCACAGAGAGGTTATCGGGGGATGTGGTACCATCTGAGCATCTCACACACATGGGTAAGTGGATTTATCCTCTCTCAGACAGGAAAAACAATTTTACAGCCACAAGGAAAAGAACTACAGAGAGATTAAGCAACTTGCCCAACATTAAAGATTAAGTTGCCAGCAGAAACTCACAGTTAAAAACAATTTTCTTGGTCTCAGTCCAGTGCCTTCCCTCTAAACCCATTCTTTTTCCTCTGGCTCTCATTAAGAGGGAACATGCCACTTTCAATCAGGCTGGCTTCCACCAGGGTTACTCCAGCAAGCTTCAGGATATAAGAGTGTTTATTCCTTGCTTTGCTAAGAAGTGATCAGGAAGAGAAAATCAGAAATTAAAATTCCTGATTATTTCTTATCCAAATTTGGGATATGGAGTGGAAAAAATATCTTTGGGAGATGAGAATTCCTTCTTAATGCATCCTTTAAGGCAGTAAACTGTAGTGACTGCAGAGACTTCATGGTTGCATGAAGCATGTTGAGGACAATTGAGTCTGTAGGATGGTCTTCTTGTGTGAAGATTGGGTTTAACTTGGATCAATCAATCGGTCAAGTACTTATGTCCTGAAAGACTTCATGTATTCATAGAATCATAGAATCCTAGAATGGCCTGGATTGGAAGGAACCTTCAAAGCTCATCTAGTTCCAACCCCCTTGCCATGGGCAGGGACACCTTCAACCAGACCAGGTTGCTCAAAGCCCCATCCAACCTGACCTTGAACACTTCCAATGATGCACCTTGAGACCATAAAACCCAAAACTCAGTTGGCAGGAGACCTCTACCAGCTGGTTAGAGACCTCATATATAGCTGTGCAAGCAAGCTGCCCCAAATCTTGCGTTTTACTACATCCTGCTTAAACTGGACGTGCATCCCCAATCCAGGCGGTAAGCCACCAGCATTTGCCAGCCCCTCTCCCATCCCACAATGTGCCCTTTGTCCACCTACCTGTGAGATGTGGGACTGTGTCTTCTTGCTCTCACCATCCCCCTCCATTTTATCCATCAGCAGCCCCTGGACCTGGTACTCCAGGACATAGCTGTCAATGAAACGCTCCAGCTCCTCAATCTCTTGAGAGTGGCTGCTCCCTGCCTCTGAGGAGGCTGATGCCACTAACGAGTTCTCCATCCCTTCAGGAGAGATGTCAAGAACAGAGGGGGCCTGAGAAAGCAAAATAAAAAAGAGCAAGAAATTATTTTCCACTAATTATAAAAAGGTTAAAAAAACAGGAGCTGAAGCTTATTGGTTTCCAGGGACAGGATATTTTTTTGCTGTACATCTACATTTCCAGTAATATTTAATAATAATCCTAGGTGGTCATATTCAGAGTTTTCATGTGTGCAAAAAAAAAGTCTAATTTCTGTAATATTCCTACATCTAAGGACAACAGACAGTTTTCCTGTCCTCCTTAAAACCTAAACTACTGAAAACCTCCAGAAATGCACAAGAGGAGAACAAAATTAAAAAACTTAATTTGAAAAGTCCACAGCATTATCTGTGCTGGATAAGGGTGAGTAGCTGGGGATACTGGGCAAGGGTGTGAGGAAGAGGATGATAACTGAAAAGCTTCTCTAGGACAGTGGCAGTAAATGGTGCTGAGTCAATGATGTGACTGCAAATGGTCAAGAGAAGAGGTTTGCACATGGAGGTGAAACAGACATCCCACTAGAACCGATTTTTAAAACCTCTCTTTCTTCAGGACAATGGCTCTATAGAAGATATACAGGCTTTATGATGCTCTTCTCCTTCCTATTTTGTAGGAATGTGCCCCCTGTTGACAGAGTGACCAAATTATTCTTTGCTTAAAAAGGCAAAAAAACCAGAAGTTTCTCTCCCAATTTGGTACAAAAGATACCTCATAGGACCTTTGGGACTTCACCTCAGACCTGAGGCTGTCCGATTGGACAGAGGCCAAGAGGTCCTGCCTAGGTAATTCACTAGAAAAGGAAGAGAAAAAAGGAAATAACTGCTTTTGTGGGGTGTTTTAGCAGAAGCAAGAACCTCTTGCCCCTGGCTCGGTTTTTCTCTGATAGAGCTTTGTTATTTTGCCTTTTATTGAACTTTTTTCTCTTTCCAACACTACCTCAGAAGCCATCCTGCTAATTTTATGCTGTTTGGGGTGGCTGATCTATCTTGGGTGTGATGGGTTTCTCTGAGAGCTCATACGACCTGGCTTGAAGAGTAACACATCACTATTTCTCCATGGCTCAACAGGTATGAGGCTCTGGAACTAGAAGGCCGGACAACTGATGAGGTGGGTAAAGGTCTTTCTGGGATCATGGGACATCTTAAAACAACACCACCTCTACCCTGCATCAAGACCTCCTCTGTTAGGAGGAAAAAAAGAGTAATTGTAATGGAAGACTCCTTTTTAAGGGGAACGGATGGCCCAATATACAGACCTGGCACAACTCACAGAAGTCCACTGTCTCCCAGGGGCTCAGATAAGGGACACCACTGGAAAACTCTCCAGCCTGGTAAGGCCTTCTGATTATTATCTGCTGTTGGTTGTTCAAACTGGCAGTGATGAAATAACAAAGAGAAGTCCAAGTACAATCAAAAGAGACTTCAGAGCCCTGGGACAATTGGCAGAGGGATCAGGAGCACAGGTAGTGATTTCCTCGATTCTTCCAGTAACAACAAATAGTATTGATAGGATTAGGCACATCCATCAGGACGATGCATAGCTCCGAGATTGGTGTCAGGGGAAAAAATTTGGGTTTGTTGACTATGGGATGAGTTACTCAACACTTGGTCTACTGATGCCTGACAGGATGCGCCTATCTCAGAGGGGCAAGAGAGTTCTAGCACAAGAGCTAGTGGGGCTTGTTGATAGAGTTTTAAACTAGCTTGGAAGGGGGAAAGGGATAAAACCAGGCTTGCTAGTGATGAGTGATGGGATGGTGTGCAAAAACTTGAGGAAAGGAGCACTAATGAAATCCCTCAATCTACTTCACAAGGTGTTGGATACAATGTACCACACCCGAAATGTTTTGACACTAATGCATGTAGCATGAGGAACAAGCAAGAGGAGCTGGAGGCTTTGGCCCAGTCCCAGAGATTTGACATCATTGGCATAAGTGAAACCTGGTGGGATGAGTCCTGTGACTGGAGTGCCCTGCTGGATGGTTCCAGACTATTCAGGAGGGATAGGCAGGGCAGAAGAGGCAGACAGGTGGCACTGTATGTAATAGAAGGGTATGTATGGAGCTCACAGTTGGCAATAGCACAGTTGAGAACTTCTAGGTAAGAATAAAAGGGCAAACAAATAATGTGGATGTCATTGTGGGAGTCTACTATAGATCTCCAAGACGGGACAATGACACTGACAAATTATTTTTTGAGGAACTAAGGGATGCTTCCAAGTAAACTGCCCTTGTCCTTAGGGAGGACTTCAGATTGCCAGAAGTTAACTGGGAGCATCACACAGCTGGTAAAACCTGGGCCAGAAGGTTCCTAAAAAACCTGGATGACAACTTTATGGAACAGGTCCTAAGGGAGCTGACTTGGAAAGATGACCTCCTTGATCTACTGATTGTCAACAGAGTGGAGATTGGCAGCTGTTTTGGCCACAGCGACCACGAAGTGATTGAGTCTAAAACCTCTGCTGACAGAAGGAAAAGTGCCCACAAAACCTCACCCCCAGAAATGAGGAGAGCACACTTCAGGCTGTTCAGGGAATTAGTAGGTAAGGTCCCCTGGGAAAATGTTTTTGCAGGTGCTGGGGTCCATCAATGCTGGTCACTTTTTAAACATCACCTCCTACGGGCCCAGGATCAGGCAATTCCCAAATGTCAGAAGTCAAGCAGGTGAGGCAGAAGGCTGGCTTGGCTGAACAGGGTCCTTCTCTCAGAAATAAGGCAAAAATGGAAGGTGTATACCCAGTGGAAGAAAGGTCATGTGACATGGGAAGAATACAGAAATGCTGCTCACCACTGTTGGGAGAAAATTTGTGTGGCCAAAACCCAACTGGAGTTGAAGGTGCAAGAACTGTGGGGGGCAATAAAAAGAGTTTTTTCAAATTAATTAATGGCAAAATGCAGTGTAAAAAAACCATCAGCCCATTACAGGAGGAGGATGGTCACCTCACAAACAGGGACAGAGACAAGACAGAGGTGTTTAATGCATTCTTTGCCTCTGTCTTGAACACAGATGATGGACCAAGGGGGTCTCAGTGCCCAGAGCTGGAGGACCATGACTGCAAGAATGGTCAACTCCCAGTCAAACCTGAAATTGTGTGGAATCTGCTGCTCCAGCTGGATCCCTACAAATCTATGTGGCCTGATGGGATTCATCTGAGAATAGTCAAAGAGCTGGCTGATGTCATTGCAAAACCTCTCTCAATGATCTTTGAGCGGTCTTGGGAATCTGGAAAGATCCCAGCTGACTGGAAGCTAGTGAACGTTGTCCCGATTTTGAAGAAGGGCAAGAAGGAGGACCCTGGAAATTACAGGCCTGTCAGTTTCACTTCAGTGCCTGGTAAAGTTATTGACAAGATTATACTAGGAGGTATTGAAAAACACACGAAAGTCAACACAGTCATTGGTCACAGCCAGCACGGTTTCATGAGAGGGAAGTCCTGCTTATCAAACCTGATTTCCTTTTATTACAAGGTAACCCATGTAGTTGATCAAGGGAAGCCTGTTGATGTAATCTTTTTGGATTTCAGTAATGCTTTTGATACTGCCTCTCACAGTATCCTTCTGGACAAAATGTCCAGCACACAGCTGGATAAACACAATGTGATGGATGAGCAACTGGCTCACGGTTCAGGCACAAAGGATTACAGAGAATGGGGTGACGTCAGACTGTCAACCTGTCACTAGTGAGATTCCACAAGACTCCATCTTAGGCCCTGTGCTCTTCAACATTTTCATTAATGACTTGGATGCAGGACTTGAAGAAATACTAAGCAAGTTTGCAGAGGATAGAAAACTGGGAGGAGCTGTTGACTCCCTCAAAGGCAGGAATGCCCTGCAGAGAGACATTGACAAATTAGAGGACGGGGCAATCACCAACCATATGAAGTTCAACAAGAGAAAGTGCTGGATTCTGCACCTGGGATGGGACAACCCTGGATGAACTGAGACTGGAGAATGAGACACTGGAAAGCAGTGCTGCAGAAAGGGACCTAGGGGTCCCAATTGATGGAAAGTTGAATAAGAATCAGAAGTGCCCTGGCAGCTGTGTCCTGGGGTGCATCAGGCAAAGCATCACCAGCTGGTCAAGGGAGGTGATTGTCCTGCTCTACTTTGCACTGCGTGGCCTCGCCTTGAGCATTGTGCACAATTTTGGGCACCACAATGTAAGAAAGTGTCATGGGTTGACACTGGCCAAACACCAGACAACCTCAAAAGCTGCTCACTCACCCTCCCCTGCCACAGTTGGGCAGAGGAGAGAAAAATTTAAATGAAGGGTCTATGAGTTGAGATAAAGACCACAAGAAAACACTCCAAGGGCAAAACAGGCTTAGCTTAAAGGTACAAAGTAAATTTATTATTAAGAAAATCAGAGGAGGATAATGAGAAGTAAAATAAACCCTTAAAAACACCTTTTCTTCCCCCAGCCTCTCCCTGTCACAGTTGCAGCTAGCCTGTAGCTGCCAAATAAATTTGGTCATATCAGACCTTCAAAACAAGTCCTCAGATGAGGCAGGGATAGGTTGGATTCAAACCTAAACAGATACTTCACCCAGTCATGTTCCATCCTAAGCTGCAGGCATCTCACTGGTCAAAAAACTGGGCTGTGTGAAAATCAGACCAATCAGCAGTTTAGACCAGGGTGTTTCAAACCTCCTATATAAAAAGAGTTCAAACAGTAAAACTCGCTGTTGTTGTATGGATCTCTGAGAGTGTGTGTCATCCCTGTCTCCGACCCACCGACCCCACGTAACACATGGCACATGGCACCCCACGTAATATCTTCCTCCTTCCCACCAACAGCTCAGGGAGATGGTGCGGGGGTTTTGATCAGTTCGTCACCCAAGGTTTTCTTCTGCTGCTTAGGGAGAGGAGGCCTTCCCCTGCTATACCGTGGGGTCCCTTCCCACAGGAGACAGTTTATTGTAGCAGAGGCCCCCTGACGTGGGAGTAACATGCATTGACTCCATGATTCAGAAGGATGAACAAAAGCTTTATTAAGCTATACTCTATTATACTACA